TTATTATTATTATTATTATTATTATTATTATTATTATTATTATTTATTTGGAGTAACTCTTCCTGGAGTTCTCTCTTTCTTTCCTTTTTTTTTTTTTTTTTTTTTTAATCTAGAGAGAGGAAGAGCTATAGATAGAAAACTTATTTTTGAATGATAATTTCTCCCCCTCCTTTTTGGACTGGGAGGGAGTGAAATCTTTTTACTTTTTGGTGGCGGTGTGCCTTGTGTGCGCGTGTTTCCTTCCTCCTCCTCCTCCTCCTTGCTTTCTCTCTCATAACAGCCCCGGTAAATGAGAAGAGACAGGTCTCTGCCAATTTTTTTCTTCTTCTTTTTTTTTTTTTTTTTTCTTTTTTACGGATCGGCAAGGTGAAATTAAAAGTGGCATTTTAGTGCCTTTTTCCTGCAATTTTCTCTTCCCTTTTTTTTTTTTTCTCTCCCCAGTAGAGAGATTTGGGGCTAAGGTTTAGGCAGAAAGTTTGGGGGCTTGTTAGTATTTGGTGGGGGAGGGAAGCACATTCATTTTTTGTGTGTATGTGCTGTTCTGCTGTAGGCTTATTGGAGAATAACAGTGTAAGTGACAGCCTAGAAGTAGACTTCCTGCTCTTCACGCTGGATAGAAAAGCTTTTTTGCCCACCTTGTCACTTGCTCTTGTACATATTGATTTTATTTTTGAAAGGACAGCCAGGCTTAAGCTGTCCCCAGCTCAGTTAAAAGCTGTAACTTTTTTTTCATTTTTAGCACTACACTTGTCTGGTCAATTTGATCTTCATTTCCTTTTTCCATTCCTAAAGCTTGAAAAGGTATTCTTAGTATTTTTTTTTTGTCCATTGCTATTTTGCTTATGGCTCCTTTTTTTCTCACTATTTATTTTTGCCCCTCCCCTGCTTAGAGAAAAATAACAAAAAAGAAAAATAATAGAATTTTAAGGGAAGTAGCCTTTAGGTCTGCTGGCTTTTTGTTTGGGTTTTTTTTCCCCTTAAAAAAAAAAAAAGGACCTAGAAAACATCAGTCTTGAACTTCTTCCTCTTCAAGAGCTTGAGCTGCAAAGGAAACCTCCTTTGTTTTTGTTATTTATATGCTGTCAAGTTTTGAAGTGGTGAGTTTCGGGTCGGTTTTGTTAATTTCACTCAAAACTGCAGTGTTTCTGTTTCTAGATAGTACTTTGCTTCTTTGTCTCTTTAAAAGGTCACAGGGAAAGCTTGGCCTGGATTGTGAAAGCCATATGGAACGGATAAGAGAAGAGCCTCTCTTAAATGTGATTAGGGTTTTTAGAGGGGGGAGGGCGGGGAGGAAAGAGGAGGGGAAAATGCAGGGGAGGGGGTTATTTAATGAGGAGTTAAAAAAATGGTATAATACTATTATATTTCAACAATAGAAGCTAATACGCTGAAGTTCATTCAAAATGTGGTCCTTGTGTGTCCATGAGTACGATCTCTGAAACTATACCTGGAAATTCTGACCTTATATAAATGGCTGGGATGGAAACTTGTAGCTATAAAAGATGTTTAATAAGAGCCCTGAAGAAACCCTTGGCCTGGCATAGGTACAGAAATTAGTTAATCTGTAGCACTATCTTTCTGGGCAGGCCATGCTGATTTGTTGCTCATCGCTATTTCAAACTGAGGTTTTGGTGAACTTTAGCCTTGGGCATGGAGTTTAAATGAGTAAATTAGGTGTTTTATGTGCATGCAATTTAGCTTTGTAACATAAGGCTTTTTATAAGATGACTAAGTGGTTAAAACATGCCTATGGATAGGTATTCCAAGGCCAATTTAGAATGACCTGTTTGGTGGTTTGGTAGTAGTCAATATGTTAACTAAATTATGATCTATCACTCTTATTCACTGTACATAATGTAGTGCCATTTTGACTCAAGATGACTAGATACTTCTTGTAACAATGTTGGTACCAAACTGTACTTTTTTTAAGTTACCGAAAGTGACTGGGATTTTCTTCTTTATAGCTTTATTTAAGTTAATCCTTTTATTCTCAAGAGAGACTAGTTTCAGAAAAGCAGCCTTAAAAGTAACACAGCATCCTAAGGAAATGCTGCTAGACATTAATCAGTTAACCTGTTCGTGTTTTCGTTAGACTGAAGTTAATGCAATAAAAAAAGTAATTTCAATTTCAAAAGTGGCTAAATAGGCATGTTTATTTGTTAATTGGACCTATAACCGAGACCACAATTAACGTTAAACCTTTGGTTCTTAGCGTGTCATCTCAGAGCGTAAGGATAAGTTACCATTATTTTCTAAACTTTAGTCACTCAGTGCCATTCTTATGGTTGCTTGTAAACATCTAGATTAATACAGATTCTTTTTCTTGGCTGTGTAGGACAAAGCAGCCTATGTTCAAATAAGAAAAAATTGTTTATAGAATTACTGGTGTACATACCAACATTACGGAATATACGGTAACTCCCAAGGTATCCATACCTGAATAGCTTTGCAGTGAAACGTACAAAATGTGTTGAATTACTAGGCAACAGAAAGTAAGTAGCAATTACCCGATTCATGCAAATCTTTGTAAATATGACTCCCCTAGTATTAGTATTTGTATTCAGTAATGTAAATATTACTTCATAAAATGAATGTCTAGTCACCTGTCCTTAGTGGTTGTACTATATACATGACAAAATAGGCAGTGTGGTCATACCACAATCAGAAAAGGGCAGAAGATTCTAATAAAACTTCAGTAATAATAAATGAATCCCAACCAGGTACATACACACTTATTTTCAGTAACTGATAGCTTTCATGGTTATTAAAATAGATTCTGTGTGAATAAAATCTTTTTTTTAAATCATTCTATGTGTTTTGGGCTAGGAATTTATAAAAAAGAGAGAGACAAACTAGGAACAGGAATTCTAGTTAAGTTGTATAACAGGAAATATAAGCATGCCAAGATGCACCTTTTCTTAATTTGATACTGAAATTGCTTCCGTTGTTTTGGTTTCAGACATCTGTGACAGTACGTAACTTTGCATCACCACGAGTCTGTGTGCTGAGCTACCCTAAATTTCTATAGAAATTGTAGATCTTCTGCATGAGATTTACAGAGTGTTTCTCTTCTTTCTCTTTATCTCTCTTTTTTTTTAAGGACCTCATATTTGACTTATACTGAAAGCTTGACTGCATCTTAATTATCATGTTTATATAACTTAAGTTTTTAAAAGTTAGTAAACTCTTCATGTAAAATAGCTTGGAAGAATATTAAAACAAACCCCATCCAATCAAATATTTGAGGTTGTTAAGAAATCAATACGCTCCTCTAAAGTTACAATGTTCTCGTTGTACTTCCATTTCTTTATGAGAAGAGAACAATTTAATTAGAAAATATATTTATTTATTTATTTTTTAAATAAAAGCATCTGTGATATTTGTAGCAATGAGTATTTTGGAATATATAATTTGAAAATCACCCTTGCCTATTTAATTCCCATTCTTATGAATTCATGAGGAAAATGCCTTTTCCTAGGCTGCCCAGTTGTTCTAGCATACTTTTAAGTTAGCTTTAACAAAATCCTTGAATCTCGTGCAATCTTCTTGTGATTTGGAGAATGAAGTTATTTTTTGAAGACAAATTTACTACCTTTTTATAGAGACCGCTTTTGAATACTTAAAATATTAATTTACACTTACTTATGAGCTTACTATACATACTCTACACATGTGTAAACTGTGTACATACACATATACGCACACGTGTACAACATATCTTTTTTTTTTTTTTTTTTTTTTTTTGGCAGGTGATCTTTAGAGGCGGGACTGAGCATGGATCATTTGAACGAGGCAACTCAGGGGAAAGAACATTCAGAAATGTCTAACAATGTAAGCGATCCGAAGGGTCCACCAGCCAAAATTGTGCGCTTGGAACAGAATGGGAGCCCATTAGGAAGAGGAAGACTTGGAAGTACAGGAACTAAAATGCAAGGAGTGCCTTTAAAACACTCTGGACACCTGATGAGAACTAATATTAGAAAAGGTAATATTTTTAATAATTCTGCACTGGAGAAATAATTATATTCAGTGGCATTTAGGGTAAAAACATACTTTTAGCAGGCTTATAGTTCCGAGCTGAATGTTTATTCTAAAAATATTTTATTCCCACCTCTGATGTAAATCACATTTGGGAAATAGAAGCTTCATGCTTGGGTGGAGCATCTTGCTTTGCAGGGTGGAGTCTGACGACTTTTTTTTTTTTTTTTTTTTTTTTTAGGTTTTTTCCCTCCAAAATTGGAAAAATTGAAATTTTTGAAAAAATTAAAAACTCTTATGAAATATTTTCTTTTAGAATAATGAATAAAATGCTTAAGACAAGGTGTTCATGTATTGCTACCCTTTACTCCCAAAAAATAGTTATTAGAAAACATGCAATAGGAAGACTTTTATGTAAGCCTGTGTACAGCATCAGATCATTACAATTCCTGTACACCAAGGACAAGCACAAATGCAAGAGCAAGATGCATTTCTGCCCCCAGGGGGCACTGCCATTTAAGGTAAAGACTAACTTAACGGTAGCTCCCATGATTAAACCTATTTTTTGTATTCAAAGAGAACTGATTATAATAAACTTACTCTTTGAGCGAGTTTTTGCTAAGCAACAGCAAACTTTATAAAAAGACGCGTAGGACCTCAAAAACTTTAATTCTTGCCTTTGCTCCCACTGATAGTCCAAGCTTAAAAAGGTCAGCAGTATTTCCGTTACAGTTGCAAGTAGGTTTAAATGAGAGTACGTAAATCTTTAGGTATCAAATTGGAAAAGTCATTTATTATGTCAATCTTTGCAGTTTGTTTTCTTAAGTACAATTCATTATTGAACAATGAACAACTTGGGTGTCATATTTTTCAGTGACTGGTTTGCTGTAATTAGACATTCTCGCAAGGAAAAAACGGATTTAGAATCATTGATGGATGGCTTTTGTTTGCAGTAGAATACTTTAAAATTAACTACAGTGTATGTGTATCTGTCTATAGATAGATAGATAGATACCCACACATCACTTTGACCATGTATTGCAGGCTTGTTAATTTAAATCAAAACATGCTGTATGGAATTTGGCATTTGTTTTAAAACAGCTTCTACATTTTTCTCAGTATAATTGGTATATGTTTATAATTCAGATTTTTCTTGCATTTGCTAAGCAAAGGATAAAATGCAACCAAGACTATTAAACACACAAAGTTAGAAGGCAGTGGAATTTCATTGTGTCTGATGCATAACATTTATCATACAATCATTTATTTTTTCCTCGGTTTGGCGAAAACAAAGAATATATTGATCCTCAAATGAACAGACACAGCAGTCCGTATTGTTAGATCTTTATCTATTAAAAATGGAAAAACAGCACTTCAGCAAATTCTTTGGCCTCTGCTCATGATTACCCTATTTATTGATTGTTTGCCAAGAATGTATGCATCTTAAGAAAGCCAGGGTAAGAGCATTAAAAATATAATTTATTACGGCTTTTCAAACAGAGTGCATTAATATTGTACAGTGAAGCACTGGGGCTATATAAAAAGGACTTTCTGACGCCTGCAAACATATAAGTTCCATAAATTCCTAAATAGGAGATTTCAGCTGTCTCTGGTATTATGTGATATTTGCACAGCAAACTTTAATGCCAGGACAGTTTTAGACAAGGATTCTACAGACTTCACTGCTTCTTATGGCAGACGTGATGTTTACACAGACTCGTAAACCTTCAGCAAAAGCTCTAACACTGCCTTCAGGTTTAAATCATGTTGTATTTTTAGCACTGAACACTGACCAATGCTCTCCCCTCTAATACTAGAAGGTTATAAAGTTGCTGCACTTGGAGGTCTTGCCAAGTGCTAGCAAGAGTGATCAGCCAGCTGAGATTGTGCTCTACTGTATAACATTTTTCACATTAACAGAAGGACACTAGTGACAGTTTGCTAAAAGATTTAGCAGCTTGATTTGTAGTCAGATGATACCTTTGTTACACTACCAGGGATCCACCTTTCATATCCACAATGTACATCAAAATCTGGTCAAGAGGTCGTCTTGCTTTTTAAAAGTTTTATTTGTTTTTGTGTTGTGTAATTTATAGGACAACATAATGTTTTTGTTTGTTGCCTAAAATGAAATACCAGTGCACGGTGCATGTAGTAATCCTAAATGTTGTAGCCAATGGTGGCTGGGGGGGGGGGGGGGATAAAGAAACCCAATACAGCATTTTGCTCCCTCTTTAACTATTTGTTATATGCAGTATTAACCCTGCACATGAAACTAAAATGCTGTATACATTTTGCCTACAGATATCCAACAGTGACACCACTACATGACTTTGATCTCCCTCTTTCAGTCAGGTAGTGCTCTGGGAGCTTAGGAAAAATACTGCTTACAAGTCTTGTGTGTCTCTGCACATTTTGGAAAGCTCTCCAAAGTTTAATTAAAGCCAATGAAGAAATTGTTAGTTTACATGTTCTATTTTTGCTCTGGTCCTTTCTCTCTTCCGAGTGGTCTAACTAGAAGATGATGTAAAAAAATATATGACACGCACAAAATAAAAATCCTCCTGACCTAAATACATATTGGCAAGTTTTTAGCCTTGTCTTTCATGTAGAGCCTATTGGGCAAACTGGAGTTAGTGTGAGCTTTTCCAAGCAACCCTGAAGGGGCTTGTTTGCCAGAGATAGACTCTTTGAACAGATACCTTTTAAGAGCATATATTTAAACTATCTTTTTATTACAATTTATTGTTATATGCAACAGTACCAATTAAAAGGGGGATAGAAGCATTTATATTTCTTATCACCAATTAATAATCTTACCAAGCTATGGAACATCTTGTGCACCTTTGCAGGTTAGAGGGTTTCTGTAAGACTAGAGGGCGGTGCTTATATAGAGGCATTAACATTGTAGGACTAATTGGAGATCCTGGGTGCCCTGTTAAAATAACCCTTGTCATCATTTATGCTAAAGATGATACCCCTCTGGCAGGCTGCCATAAGACAGTTCAGTGCATTTGCTTTTAACCCTTTTATTGTCATCATAGGGCTTGATCCTACATTACTGAAGGCAGTGGAGGTTTTGTTGCTAACTTTGAGTTCTTAATGGGATTGAGGCCTAACACTGCAGTTGTCTTGGAGTTCTCTCTATCTCTGTCTGTCTGTGTGTGTGTGTGTGTGTGCGTCTCTCTGTCAACTAAGTTCAATTTTTAAGAAATTCACAAATGTGATTTCTAGAAAAATTCCTCTTCCCAGCAGTAAGAATTGCTTGGGTTGTTGTCCAAAAGATTGCACTGAATCAGAAAAAGACATGGGGAAATACTTTCAGATAAAGTAATTTTAATTTATTTTATTTCTACTTCACATTTTTCTAAGATGCATCTCCCATCTGTAATCTGATTTTCAATGTATATTGTAAAGTAACTACATACCTTACTGTTTCCATAATGTATAAACTGCAGGTAATTTTAAAATCATATTTAAATGACCATTTTTATTCCTTAATGATGCAAGTCTTAGAATTACAATTTGCCTTCACTGTCTGGGTGTAAACAAATCAGTAATCAGTTGGCATTAAGTTTTGTTTTGTTTTCTTATACCTTCTTAATTTTAGTATGACCAAATGACAAAACAAGAACGTGCATTTTTTTTTTTTTTTTTTTTTTTTTTTTTTTTTTTTTTTAGTTTATGGTAATTACGACTTGCTTAGCTATGCCAAAAATAATTAATGTTAATGGCCAAAATGATATAGATGGCACCTGAATGGCTTATGATCAGGATCTCTGCGGTATGTTTGTAGCTTCTCTCACCACGCGTTACGTGCAACAAATCTGGACAGAACAGAGGGTACTGACTTATTTCTCTTCAGTCAACCTTAATTCTGTAATCTGTAGCAGAAAAAGGCATCTGCTTACAGAAATAGTAAGATATATTTGTATTCATGCCTTTCCACAATAATATTTTTATTTTGCAGAACTTTCTTTTGTTGGGAAGGAGAGTAGGGATGATCTCAAATATTAGATAAACCTTGACATTTATTTACCAGTTCACAGGAATGTTATCTATTTAATTGTTGGTAAGCCTACCATCACAAAAATTAATATTGTATATTTTCTCTTTTTTTTTGTTAATAGGAAGTATGCTTCCAGTTTTCTGTGTAGTGGAACATTATGAAAATGCCATTGAGTATGATTCTAAGGAGGAGCATGCAGAATTTGTGTTGGTGAGAAAGGACATGCTTTTCAATCAGCTGATTGAAATGGCATTGCTATCACTTGGATATTCTCATAGCTCTGCTGCCCAAGCAAAAGGTAAATATAACTGCTACAATGCACGGTAACTTGTGTTTATTGTCTGGGGGAAGAAATTCCTAGGATATCTTTTCAGAAATGTAATGCAGGTGGGCTTTCTACTCTTTGTAGATTGTCTCTAAACCTTTGTTTAGTTAACACACATTTTGCTTATGTGGAATGTTGAGGTAGATGATTATTTAAAAAAAAAAATGACTTGAAGTGAATCATTTAGTATGCTTATTGACCTTAATAATCTGCTCCACTGAGGATCCACAAGGAAGTGTAAAGCATATTTGAGCAGATGGACTGTTGAGAGTCAACTTGCATTTATGACTGAATATCCAGCTCTGCTTCTTTTACTCTGTTCCTGATGGTTTTATGGACTATAAAGTATTTTTCAGTATTGAGTTCCTGCATTATTAAATCCTATATAATTAGTAAAGGGGTTTATGAATTATTATATCTTGTCTTGATGCACTCGGTAACTTAGGAAAAATTGGTTCTATACATAATATTTTAAAGATGCTTGTTGTAATGTATTTATGTAATTTCATCGTACATGTAGCAATTTTTTTGTCTCCATCCTCAAAAGAACATGGTAGCAAGGACTTTTATGTGACTTAATTTCAGATTTTCTTCCTGCCCCTCGCCCCATGCATTGCAAGGTAAGCTATTTTAATAAATATGTATATATTTTTGTGTGTCATAGGGCTTATCCAGGTTGGAAAGTGGAATCCTGTTCCACTCTCCTATGTGACAGATGCCCCTGACGCCACAGTAGCAGACATGTTACAAGATGTGTATCATGTAGTCACACTGAAAATCCAGTTACACAGGTGAGTTACATTCCCACGTTGTGACACGAACTGCCATTTGGCCACTATTATGGCTAATAATAATATCCCTAGTTTTAATTCCCACTGTGCTGTGCCCAAAGTACAGAGGCTTATCTAATTTACTTTTAAGTTACTGTAATTCTTCTTAAGTTACAACATACCATTGCAGAAAACTTTTATAGCTCTGATACATAGATTTTTCTTTGGATATCTCATTAAAAGAATATTGCATTTTAGTCAATTAAATGATGCATTACAAGAAGGCATTTTACATAAAGTTTACTTAAGAGAAAAATATTTTTGCATATCATGAACAGTACCATCTGTGTGCATTTTGTAAAAGAATGACTTGCTCACACTTATTGTTGCTGTCTAGGTTCTTAAATTTCACAGTAACAAAAAACAAAAAATGGTTAATATATTAATGCTTTTCATGATCAGTCGTGAGAAAGCATTACACCTTAAATTGTTTTACCAAGCGCATCAGAGCAGGAAGGTAGAAGTAACATGAAAAAATAGTCGCCACATGCAGCTGATGTATAATTCATGCATCAATACAGCAGATGTGTTGTATAAAGTAATTAACTAATCGGAACAATCAGGAGACCGAGAGCAATCTCCAGATGCATCTGCTTGATGCGCAAAATGAAATCTGTCTGTCTTAAAGGAATGTTCTGCAGCAGGATGCAATCTTGTAATAATCCCTTTCCTAATCTATGTTTCAAATAGTTGCCCTAAACTAGAAGACTTGCCTCCTGAACAATGGTCTCACACAACAGTAAGAAATGCTCTGAAGGACTTACTGAAGGATATGAACCAGAGTTCATTGGCCAAGGAATGTCCCCTTTCACAGGTACTTAGCATAACATGTAATAAATAATAAAGCACTATAGGCAATGCTGATGTGAGATTTGAGATTTCCTCAGACTGTAGCAAGTGGTATCTGAACAGTGGATCTGCCAAAATGCAGATTCATTTGACCACTTACAATCTCTTTTAAAATGCTCGATTCATTTTGAGCATAGTTTTACAGAATTTTCCCTTAGGGAGCTGTGAATGACTGTTTCCACTACACTAGATAAGACTAGAATTGTCACACCAAACTGGATTGTAACTGGTTTAGTCTTCAATCTTTGAACTGCTTTGATATAACTGCCTTTTTTCAGGCATGTGTTGAAGTTGTTAAAAGGCTCCCTACTTACTGCTGTCAAAAGTACTGTTGAATTTGACTGTTTGTTAGATAACCTACACTAGTTTTAAATGCTAATTCATAAAACTAGACAGTCTGTTTTGGCATACCATATGAGTGGGGAGAAAAAAACAGAATAAAGGGTCTTAATGTGTTTGTTGTTAAAAACAACCAAAAGAAAATCAGTCATTTATTATAACTAATCAAAATATATTTAACAGGAATAAAACCTTATATTACCCATTGCTAAACACTGAACTGCAGTTTTCCTCAAGGCTTTGTTGCATTGTTCTTTTTGTCAATTATTTAAACTGGCGTGAAGGGAGAGACTTATTTTCCTGTGCTGTGCAGTGAGTGTCCAGTGATATTGAGGTGGGAGCCACAGATTTATTGTTCCATTTTTTTTTAATATATTTTGCTGTGCTGCAGTTGAGATTTTAAGACAGAAATTGTGGTCTAAATAAGTGATTCTGGTCATCGTTAGATGGGGAGGGAAGAAGGAACCCAGATTTTATTTATTAATTTATTTCCCTTCCTCCGCCTACTTAAGTCCTTCAGAAGCAGAGCCATCGGTTGGTTTAAACAAGATGGCTATATCTACCAGATACTTTAGCAAAGGTTGTTTTCCTCTCACTATTTTTTCCTATGGTTAGATTGCTTTCAGTGATTTGGCTTCAGTCTAGGAATTTTTGGAGTGGAAATAATCAAAATTATCTTCACTGGTTGCAAACCATTCCAGTAATATTTTTGCAAAACTATCTTGTATGTACCTACAACATGAGCATGTGAGCTCTTGCACTGCTGGCTTATGGAGACTACAGATAGTTTAGGATTTGCTCCACCTTAGTCTACCAGCTTTACTTTTTTTTAATATATTGATGGAAAGTAGTACATTGTTTGGCAACAGATTATCCAGCTGATTTTTGGCATATTGTCTCACGTTGCAGTTTATCTATATGTACTCATGATGCAATGACAAAACAGTAAAGCTAGAGGAATGCATCTTCAGATTCCGCATGTACTTTTTGGTAGAAAATAAATAAATTCTACCTCTAAGGATTATTTAGTGAACGCTGAATTTCCTTCCTTTTAATTTAAAAGGATTGTGTCACTTAATATTTAACAAGACCATCCAGGATGATCACCAGGGATCCCGGTTTTCTCTGATTTTCGAAAGAACCCCCAATTTTCAGTTAAAGTAACCCCAAATCCATATTTTTCCACAATGAAAAATGAAATATCGCTATGTATATATCTATCTATCTATTAGTGGTGTTTCATTTAAGTCACAGAAAAATGTGGATTTGGGGTTACGTTTTTAACCAAAAATCGGGGATTTTTTTTAATTTGGAGAAAACCAGGATTCCTGATGATTGTTTCTGAGACTAGTAAAACAAATGGTTACAAAATCCTAAAATGTACTATGCTATTTTATAGGTAACTTTTTCTTTCCCGAGTTTTAAAGAATGCATTCTTTTGTTTTTTACAGGTTTTTCTGGTTTTATTTCGTAGCAAATCTTTCTTTTCTTAGCTCCTTATCTAGCCAGATACTGAAATATTTGGATTGCAAGTTAAAAATATCTTGAAGAAATTTGATCCCTTTGTGAATTTTTTTTTTTTTTAAATTGCACATGCATACATGCACACACTACAGATTTCAGGAAAAATACATACATTTGTCCTAAAATATGTAAAAATTAGCGTTTTTTATATGGGCTGATCAAAGATCCATTAAAGCCGATGTAATTTTTTTCCTCTGACTTAAGGGAGTGCCTTTTTTTTTCTTTAAACAAGCCATCAGTACTTAACTTTGACCCAATCATGTCCTTTTAAATTGGCTAAATAAGATTAAATTGTTTCAGACCGAACAATGACTAATAGACTATATCCCTAAATACATTACTCTTTCATATGAAAGGCGCTCTTTTGAGTCTCTATTTCCTAAACACTTTGAAATTTGGGAGTGCTCTGGAATGCATGTATTCTCAGTCCAGAGATCAGGAATAAGAGCAAGTAACAAGCTTAAGGGCATCTTCTTCCCATCAGATCACATAAGCACTGGTCTTTGCTCTGAGAAGAGGTACTCATGGTTATACTTTTGTAGACATAGGCACAGGTATGTTGTATTCCATCATAAAAATAAACCATCACAGTGACTTTTATCATAGCTTATATAGGTTGTTATTGATGTAATTTTTTTAATTGGCAAATGCTTCAGACCAGAATCAAGGACATCTACCACTATCCTGGTTTAGGGAGAGAAGGGTTTTTGTAAAATAATATAAGCTGGTTTAGTGTATGAACAGCATTGTTAATGCACAATTTGAGAGAGGGAAGTTGGAGAATGATGGTCTAAATTTAGAATTTGTCTACTCTGTCAGTTTTTCTTTGATTTTTGTGTGTCCAAAATAGTAATATTTCTGCACTGTAGAAATCAACTAAAATATATTTAGTAGGATTTGCTGGTATAGTTGTTAATGGGCAGTTAAAGCCATATAGACAAATATAATCTGTCCTTGTGACCAGGATTATCTGTCTGTCTAAATTATGCTTCTAAATTCAGTGGGATGTATCTTTTGACTTTGCTACCTTTCCTATTTTGTCATTCATTTTCTTGATAACTTGCTGTCATTGAAACCTCAGAGTATTGTGGTGTGCACTTTTGTCCACCACTCTCTCTTTCC